AACCGGGAAGTGGAGAGGGTCTCTCTGACAGCTGAAGCCTACAGTCGCCAGCACCGACTGGACCAGGAGAAGATTGAAACGCTCAGTAACAAGGTCAGGAACCTCAGACTTTGCACTGCTGGTGCTTTACTCTCTGTGACCCCTTCTCAAACCATTCATCACTAATTGAAGTGCTTGCCTTCAATGTTGCCACGGCCACTGAGAGACCAAACTTGGAATGAAAAAATAGCCTGCCTGGCCTGCACAGAATTGGGGAGCTGGGGATTTTGGCTAACAGGTGTGTTTGCATGCAGCTGATCTGAGCTTAGTAACCAAGGCTATGACATGTCTGAGCTGGGCTGAGGAAAAGCTCTCTGGTCATGACTTCTATGAGACATACAGAAATAACAGCATATTAACAGGCTTAGTACTGAAAAGCCACTACTTGCTTTTGTATTGTTCCCTGAACCTAGTTTGCTCAGCAACCCTTAGAATAGGAGAACTTGGGTTTCTCCTGTTGTGCCTGTGTTCTCCAAGGGCATGTCTACACTAAGAAAAATTTGCTGCTTTATATACTGCAACAGTTAAATTAGAAAAGCCCCCATCATGTTAGTGTGGACACAGTTAGTCTGGTGTACCTCTTTCCAGTTTGCAAAGGAAGATACAAGACACCTTTATGCGAGTATTAACTCTGCCCACACCAGGGCTCTATACTCGGTCTACACTTGTTCAGGTAAACGGTTGCTGCCCTTACGAATATAGTTATAGTGCTATCACTTCTTTAGTATAAACTAGCCTGTAGCTGTTGGACACCCTTGCTGTAATGTGCAGGTGTCTTCATAAAGACCTGCAGAAATTTGAGAGGGAGAAGACTTGTCATCTAGTTTACCCCACTGTGTGCCTCCGGATCTGCGCGGGGCAGGCTGGGAAGAGCCCCGCGCAGCCCCAGCTTGCTCTGCCCTGAGCAGATCCAGGGGAATGCTTCCCCCCCCGTGCCCTTCCGGGGAAGCGCTGGACCAGTGGGGTCCTGGACAAGCAGTGTGCATTGGCAGAAGTGCTGCCGCCGCTGCCGCCCCCCCCCCGGACGCGTCGGACGAGTCGCAGCTCTGTCCTGTGCCTGCCCTGGCTGGGCAGTGCCTGCTCCAGAACCATTCTTTCCTCACCGTGGGGACCTTGATCTGACCCCCTCATGCCCCTTCACTCCCCCCTCCTCTTCCACCACACCAGATTTACCAGTTGCATACGGCTCTCCACGCTGCCGGGCTGTGCTCCTCGCTACCTACATGCTGTGCTGCAGCTGCACGCACACACAGGCATTTATCAGCCAAATTATAGGTGACATCAGGCTGATTTCTGATATGATCAATTTTCTTTATATCGGTGCCGATCTGACATCAGACTGGTGCATCAGTGCACCTATAGAGGACTCCCAACATGAGCAGCACATCTGCATTCTCCAGTACATGATCTGCCAAAGCAAATCTTATAGTACTTCACTGTTGCAACGTGCTGCTTCAAGTCCTGCTCAGCTCTCCTAGCATCTCTGTGTCTCAGTTCAGTTTGATCTAAAAACATTGATTTTCCCCTCCCTACCTCTCCAATCTCTCTTACATTTCTAAAGGAGCAGAAGCCATTCATTGGCAGATGTCTGCCATCCGAGCGTGAACTGCTGTGTCAGTGACACATGACATTGTTCCTCTAGAGCTGTGTGAAGAGCTCAGATTGTTTGCGAGTTTCCTTATGGTGTTAACATTCTGCTCCTTCTGATCTCTATCCTATTTGGAGATCATGGCAGGAAGAGGTTCCCAGTTTCTTTTGGCTCTCCTTGGCAACATAAGTCTAATCATGCTCTATTGTGTATTCCACTGGCCAGGTCCGGCAACTGGAAAGGAGCATTGGACTGAAGGATCTGGCCTTGGCTGATATGGAGCAGAAGATCCGTGACATGGAAGCGTCAACTTATGATGGTGTTTTCATCTGGAAGATTACAGACTTTGCCAGGAAGCGTCAGGAAGCAATAACAGGCCGTGCTCCTGCCATCTTCTCCCCAGGTGGTTACCTAGAAATTAGAAAAATAATGGGAGGCTTCCATGCCCCAGCTGTGCCCCATCATGCTTGCACTGGAAATGGCATATGTCATGCACTGTGATTCTTCAGACAGCGGTTTCTCTTGGTTCTTTCCCCTTCTTCCCACAAATGCAGTGGAGACTGATTTGATTTCTTTTTTCCAGTGGGCTAACTGAAACTACCTTGCTTAAAGATGTTTTTTTTTTTTTTCCTACACACACGACTCTTAATGAGAAATGGAAGGTCCCTCCCAGCCCCAGAAATCACTCAGAATAATCCCTTATTTGTGGCTAAAATACATGCACACAGTATAACCCAAATTAGGGCCAGTGGCAAATGATAAATCAAAGAAGGTATCAGATATTCATCCTGTCCTGATAGATATGGCAATATGCAGTATATCCAAAGCGAATGAACTGTGCTACTGAAGCCCTCTGGTATCTCCAGCAAGCTCAGTGGTGAGAGAGGCTGTGCTCTTCAGATCAGCTCAGAGCACTCACCCCAGCCAAGGGTCCCTCCACGTGTTCTAAGATGGATCTCCAGATCATTACTCACAGTGTCCTTATCTTACATGTCAGCCTGTGAAGGCAGCAGCATTCAAGCACCTCGGACACCTGCTGTCTCTCAGTAGGATGTCACTGCTGTGTGTTAGACTAAGTTTACACTGCTGAAATCAGTGTCTGGCGCAACAGGAATGGTGTTAGCTCTAAACCAATAGCCTAACCCCTCTGTAAAACATGTAATTTTTGGGCCTGCACATGAGTCGGGCTAAGTAGTTTAATGAGCAGCTAACAGTCTTCACAACTGTGTTCACAGTTACTTTCACGTGCATTTATGGATGGTGCAGGTGGAGTTTTTTCAGTTTGGGTTTTATTGGTTTGGGGTTTTTCCAAACCTTTTCTTCCTTGGCAAAACTGGAAAGGAAAATGTTTTTTCCCAAAGAACTGAAATATTCCTGTAACCCTCTGTGCCCAACTAATGTTTCCTGTTATAATTTAATGACCATCTTTTAATCTCTCAGCTTCCCCAGGAGCAGAGTTTCACCTAGTAGGGCCAGCTCAACATTTCCTCTTGCTGAAGCCCATACAATGTCATTGTTTGTTTCTCTGAGATGAGACGTTAATACCTTTTCTCCTGTGTTTTCTGCATGTTTAACTTATACAGCACTCTAGGGCTTTGGTTCAGTCCCCTGAACCTGAATAGCTTCACCTTTCCCCCTTTTCTGTAATATACTGTATGCTGGCTGACTACCTCCCTCCACCCCAGAGATGGCTGCATTTTGGTAGTGTATCACTTTGGGCTAAAATACTGCACAAAATATTAAGTCCTTTCCTTTATCAATGAGCTGGGATCAGTGGTGGTCTCCATAGCTGTGGGGAAAGAGCGTTTTGTTTAAACCTTATTGGGATTGTTACTAGTAGTGGCTTTTCATGTTCAACTCCCAAGGCCCTCTTAACATGACACATTTTGCACTTGGTTTACACAATAATGAAGGAGCCAAAGGTCTTTTCACTGGAACACGCTTGAGAAGAGTGTGTTTATGGGGAAAGAAGGACTCTTACCTGCCAGGCATTCTGCATTCAAGGTTGTATTTTTCCTGTGCTACTTTATGTTGCTTGAACTTAATGCAGAGCTGGGAGCTGCCAGGCAGAAATGAGACTGCAAAACATATTAGTGTTGCTTAAAAGTAATCTGAAGGCTGCTGGGTTTTTACCCACTTAATTAAGTGGGCAGTGAATCCAGACTTTCAGAACACCCTGTCTGTTGCTTTGCTCTCACCTAAAACCTTGCCCTTTGGTTACCTGGCCACCTTCTTCTGCCAGGGATTGTTTTTGAATTATTAATCTTACAGTAATGTGTAGAAACCCCAGCTGAGTGTGCAGAGTGCTGTACAAATCTTCATAGGAAATGGGAATCCTCAGAAGAGCTTTCAGTCTCACTAGATAGGCTGGGAAGGGAAACAGGTGAAGTGACTCATGCAGGGTCAGTGGCAGAGCTGAGGACAGATCCCAGATCTCCTGTATCCTGACTCGGTGCTGGATCCATGGAACCATGCTGCCTGTCTGCCTCTGCGTCCCTCAACTGCCCTTTTATAAAACAGCATCCATCTTCTGTGTGCTACCCAAGCTACTGAGTCCCACCAGTCCTCATGTTAGCACCTTCGGTGTACCCACAGAACATCAGTCTTTCCCTGCATGCTTGTATGGCTGTGAACCAGCAGCACAGCCCCACATACATGCACCAAACAGAAACAGGATGCATTGCTTTAAAAATAAGACAGGAATGCTGGAGCTGAGTGTAATGCTGCCCTCTCCCCCTCGCTGCACCACTCACAAATAGCTTGGGGCAGCATGGGGCCTAGTCACTGTGTCTCCGACTCCAGATCCACACAGCAGGCATACAAGTTAAAGTGGGGAGAGGGGGAGAAGATGTCTTGCCTGCCAGCCCTAGGATCCGAGGTTCTTTCCAGCTTGTACCCTCGGCTAGCAAACAAAGACAGACTAAACTCAGAGACACCTCTGCCACCCCATTGCCTCCCATTGGACTGTGTATGTGGGCCGGGTCAGCTCTGTAATGGGTACTTAGTAAAGAATGCCACTGGTGCCCAAATAAGAGTAGGCTCTGTCTCCATCTCCCAGCGCTGTATTTTTTTTTCAGGGCCAACAGGAACCAAGAGTGGGTTGAGAGAATCCACAAAGTGTCCCTGCTCCTGTCCTGTAACACTGGGCCAAGTGCCTGGTATATTTTCAAGAGTATGTGAAGCAACTGTAGCCACAAAAGCTTAGGGTTTGGTTATACAGCTCGGCCTGTCTAGGACTGAGCTTTGCTCTGATGGCAGCTTAGTGGGCTGCTCTTTGCTTTTATTGTAAAAATTGAAGCCAGCTGGCTCTGCAGCATCTCCAGAAGCTAAAAGGGAATCTGTCTGGGAACTACTCTGAGCTTCTCTGCTGCCCCCCACCCCTGCCTTTGTTCTGACCAGGTATTTACTCTCTGTTTTACATTGCTTTGGTAGCTTTCTACACAAACAAGTATGGCTATAAGATGTGTTTGCGTGTTTACCTTAATGGTGATGGCACTGGCCGTGGGACTCACCTGTCTCTGTTCTTTGTGGTGATGAAAGGACCCAACGACGCACTCCTACGGTGGCCCTTCAACCAGAAGGTAGGTGTAGGAACACAAGCCAGAGCCCTACAGGCTTCATGGTCTAGTGATTTGGTTATTTGGGCCTCAGAGACCTACTCTTCCAGGCACCAGAAAACTGACATGTCCTGGAAACAGGGAGATAAAGCAGTATGATACCTGTTTGGCAGATGGCTCTTGTAGTGAAAGAACAATCTGTTGCACAGAAGAAAGGAGAGGGGAGGCAAGATCAGAGAGGGAGGCAGAAGCAGAATGGCGATGTATTTGGAAAGTGCCTAATATGAGTATGCCTTAGAACAGTGCTTCAGGATTGGAGACTCATGGCTTTATCATTTACTGTGTAAAATACAATAAACTGCAAACTGATGCAGTGACAGCTGTCCAGTGAGATGAAACAACCAGGCTGGGAGGTGCAGAATGTCCTATGCATATCAGTAGGATGTTAGTGCTACAGGGGCAAGTTAAATGGATTGAAACGAGTATTAGTGCCAGTTGGTGATTTGTGTTTGTTTTCACATGCCATTGAACAGAGCCTGTTTTCCAGTTGGCCTGAGCCTGGGGCATAGAGCAGCAAAATCTAGAGGCTTTGCTGTAGTTCTGGAGGGAACCTGGTTGTAACCCATGCTCCAGGCTTGCAGCTGCTTGCAGGCTTTGGAATACATCTGCCCCTGCAGCTTTCACAGAATGAAATAGAATAGGACTTGGGAGAGGAGGTCATATACTGTGCTCTATCAGCTGCCCTTATATGTTCTCCTTGCCTCCTTAGGTGACTCTAATGCTGTTGGATCAGAACAACAGGGAGCACATTATTGATGCTTTCCGACCTGATGTTACGTCCTCATCCTTCCAGCGACCTGTCACCGAAATGAACATTGCCAGCGGCTGCCCACTATTCTGCCCTGTCTCCAAGATGGAAGCCAAGAATTCCTACGTACGTGACGACGCCATCTTTATTAAAGCCATTGTAGATCTCACAGGCCTCTGAAACCTCCTTCCCTCCAGGAGCAGTGAACACAGAGCTGGCCCCAACTGGGGCTTGGCCTCCCTGTTCTATCCTTCCAGCCTTAGGGCGGTGGGCAAGGGATACAAGAGGAAAAGCCCCGTCCCCAGAGGACCTGCTCCGCTCTGAGTGGAAACAAGGTGTGTGATGGGAACTCTTCCTTGATGTCAGAAAGACCAGCTGCCGTAGTACAGATCTTTCCTGAGAAGAGGTTCAGGTTGGCATCTGTTATCTCCGGGGAACTGGAAGATTCCCATGCAGGACTCGATTCTTCAGCTCTGTCTGTACTCAGTTGATGCACATTTTTGGTATCCTGTGGTCTTCAGCCCACCCAGGGCCACCACCTTGCGTGGCCCTTCAGCAAGATCTTCCTTCCAGTCTTGTAGGAGATCTCCACATCCAAGGAAGTTGGTTTCTCTCTGGTGTTTTGCTTAAAGGGTTGTATAGTTCTGTGCTGCTGGCTGATTTGCTTGTCCACATGAAGGTGCTGAGGGAAGACAGATGACATCTGCAGCAGGTGGAGGTGTGGACATGTGTGAGCCCAGTGACAGGTGGGTTCTGGCTGATGGAAGGGACTTGCTAACCAGTGTAACCTAGTCTCCTTGGGTCCTTGTGCCATGTGTTGCTGCAGAGACGCACTGGAGTGGAAGGGAGAAGGAGCTGGCCTCCACTTCTGTTTCGCAGAAGAACCCAGCCTGGACTTGATCAGTATTGATCTGAGAAAGGGAAAGCAGTGCCAGCTGCTGTCCAGCTTGTGCAGAGCAAGGGGGAAGCATCAGCATGTGACAGAAACTTCCTTCCTCTCCTTCTCAGGAGCTCTAGAGAACCTGCCCAGCCTGGGCTCTGGAGACCCTTGATGTTTTATTTTTCATGACTTCCTGCAGATCCTGGCTTAGCCCAGCAGGTGCTCTGGGTATCCAGGCTGCTGCTCTGTAATGAGAGGTAATTGTTAATTGTGAGAGAGTTGGGTTTACTGGGTCACCACCGAAAGGGTGTCAGGGCCTCTGGGATTGGTTGGAAGGAAGGATCAGTGTGGGCTTGTTAGCCAGTCCTTACTGATCTCATACTCGGTCTTAGCCTGCACGGTAGTTAGAAGGTGTGGTTTCAGTACATGTAACTGGGTACATCTAGGTTCCCTAGTGGTGTAGCTGGAGCACTACAGCCTTCAGCACAGGCTGGACAAGCCTGCCCAGAATCCTGGGTATTTCCCAGACACGTAGAACTAGTGCTGCAGAGATTTGCTACCTATGCAAGCAGTTGAAGCCAGTGTGGATACATATTCACTTATGGCTATGGCCTGTCTGGTGGCAGAATAGACATAGCCTGAGTGTGTCCCACCCCACATCCCTGGCAAGGCCCCTCCTGGCTTCCCCCAGGTGAAAGCTGTTGGCTCTGCCCTTCCCTGACTACATTTAGTCCTGAATATGAAACCTTGGGTTCTCCAGTTTGTTAAACAGTGATCCGATTGCCTGCAAGGCTCAAGGTCCCCTGGCCTTACTTGCACTGTGACCCGACTGCTGTGAATAGCATAGACTTCCTCCTCAGTAACACCAGGACCATGTGTCCAGCTGAACATTTCCCCCACATTTATCTGGTCACCCTGTAGCAAGCCTGCAGCTGCTCAGTTAGAAACAGTAGAAGGCTGGGAAAGTCCCTGACTGAAGCTTGGTCAGCCCTACAAAGCTTTGCCAGCACATTTCTGTTAGCTGGGGAGGTGGAAAGATCACACCTCCTGCCAACACAGCTCTGCTAGCAAAAACCCTGGGGTAGGTGCAGATCTGCCCACACAAGAGGCAGCTGCCTGTTAGTGTGTGTTATTTGGGGCAGATGCTCTATAAGGTGGACATCCTGTACAAGTTATTTGTCCCTCTTCCTCCCTCTGGGCTACTTATCTCATTCTCTCAGCTTGTCCTACAGCTTCAACTGAAACCAGCTCTGTTTAGTGTCAAGTTTGCTGTAACATCTCCCTGTGGTGGCTAACAGGCTCTTTTAGAGTCACTCGGTGGTGGTCACTTGCAACTCTAGAGTGACCATTAGCCACTTCATACCCTTACTCCTCAGGGTTTTTGTCTCTCTTCACATGAATACAAACATCTAACACAGCCCCATAATATTCTCTTTGGTTAGAGTGCCCAGGTGCTGGCTGCTGATCTCAGCCTTCAGTTGTAGTCAGTACTGAAAGATGCCCCACCCCAAGCCAGCTCCTCCGCTGCTCCTCTAGCCTGGAGGACAGGCAAGAGGCCGTGAGAGCTGTCAGTGCAATAGGAGATCCCCGCAGTTGGCTGAAGCCACTGGAAGAGCAATTGAGTAGTATTAGTGACCCACTGCCCATGGATGGGGAGAGTGCATTCTCTCTGGGGTGGGCAGCAGGCGATCACCAATTAGCAAACAATAGACTCCAACATTGTGAAACTGTGGCACTCTCCGTGAAGGAAGGCCCAGTGCCCCCTAGCAGCATGTTCCCCACAGGCCCCAGATGTGGCTGTTTGTTAGCCTGGTGCTAATACCACCAGGGTTACTGGTTTGATCAGTGGTTGGACTAAATGATCTCTTCATATGGTCCCATCCAGCCATACTTACCCACGACCTATACCTGGGTGTATGCAGAACCCACCAACCTGCTTTGTCTCTCCTACTCTTACCTCGTGCATGCAGCATCCCTGCTATCTCTGAGCTAGTCTATGCAGGCAGTGGCCTGCTCCAGACCATTAGACTTCCAATCCCTCCTGCCACCCAGCTGGGGTCAGAAGTCCATCAGTGGAGATGATTCTGACTCTGGTTGTGGGCACTGGAGACCACAAGAATAAAAGCTGGGGGGAGAGGGAGACCCACTGGATCACTTGCAAAGGAAAGCAAGCCTGTAGGTGTTTCCACTACTACTGCTTTCTGCCTGGAAGTTGTAAATGCCCAAGTCATTGTCTGTGCTGCTCTCTGAGATCAGCAGCTGGTTCTCTGGAAGCTGGTTAGGAAAGAATCAGCTTTGCATCCAAAGAGGGGCCCATTTGCCCTTCTGTTAATGCAGCCTGTCTGAAGATTGACATGTAGAGAAGGAGGAATGGGACGGGCTCAGAAGCACTAGTCAAAAGGATTGCCAGGTTCTGTCATCCCTCAGCCATATACTACTTCATGCCACTTGTCCCCATGTTCATTTGCTCTCCTTGGCACTGCTGTCCCTTCCCCCAGAAGTGTTGGTGCATAGTGCTGTGGCTGAAGGGACTGGTGTGTATCTAGTTCTTGTGTCTGAATGGAGATGAACTCTTCAGGAGCCATTTCTCCAGGCCAAGAGCTGTTAGACTCTATCTGCAGCTTCTCTCAGGAGCGACCAAGGCTCTGTACTGGAGCTGGCTGGCTCTCCCTCCCTGTGGAGAGGTGCTGGGATGAGTTTTGAGCCAAGATTTCACCCCCGACAGCTCCTGTTGTCCTCACAAGCAGGTCTGATTTATTTCCTATGGGGAGGTTATATATCATACAGCTTACCCAGGGCCCAGAAACCAACAGGACAAAGGCTGCACCCTTCAGCTTCCTATCTGCTCCCCTACAGGGAAGTCCTTAAGGCTGCCCCCATGCCGTAACAGTTGCCATAGAGGCCCACACGCATTAGAGAGCATGGGTTGGTTTGAAATTTTGTGACTGGGATCAAATACTGCTGTTTGTGTGTGTTGAAGTAAGAGTTGGGTCCCCCATGCACCAGATAAGACTGTTCTACCTAGTATATGTAACAGAGAAAGGGCTTCTGTCTGCACAAGTGACTGGATGGGAGTTAAATAACTTCTGCTATTTGGTGTGGTCTTCATGTTCAGACCCTCTTTCTCTAGGTGTCTAGAGGATTGGATGCCTCCTGCTGATAGTCATGGTACATGTGGTGAACACAGGGCTCACAGCTGCTAAGTCCCCTCTGCTCCACAGCATCCACTTTGTGAAAAGGTGGGCACTGGAGAGCAGCTTAGGGCTTCCCAAGCATGGGCAGTGAGTGGAAGAGCTTCTTTCCCACTTCTGCCTTGAAGTTCAGCCTGCAGCAGGATGCATATAGCGTAGTTGCGTTTTCACTGCTTACCTTTAAAGCAGCCTGGCTGCTGGCAGCAGTACTTGCTTACAGCCAGGCACCCAAGGAGCACTTACTTACACAGCGGAGGAAGGCTCTGGTTTAGCTGGGAGCACCAGGCCTGGGAGGGCAAGCAGCTTCTGGTCACTTCCTCTGACCAGTGTCAGCTGTAGCAGAGCTCTTAATTTGGAAAAAAAAAATTTTTTTTAAATGTGCACTGGTGGTTAGTAGGGCTGTGCGAAGCTTCGGTAGCCGATTCAGTTCAGAGGAGATTCAGCTTGATTCGGGGAGCAAATCTCCGAATCAGGAGACTAATTAAAAGCTCCAAATTGACTTGAAGCATCCAAATCAATTTGGAAAAAGATTTGGCCACTTTGGAGATTTGGCCATAAACTAAACAGGCAGCTGACACAGCTGGTAAGTCTGTTAGGGTTGGGGGAGGGGGAAAGAGGGATTGGGGCTGGGACAAGCTGCCCAGTCAGGGCAGGGGGTGCGGGATGCGGGTGCAGCAGCACTCAGAGCAGGGGCTATGCCATACTGCCACTTGCCTAGCTTGAGGGGAGAGGAGGAGGGTGGGAACAAGGTGGGCAGGACGTGGGCGCAGCTCGCAGCAGGGGGCAAGTGGCAGCAGGGCATAGCCCCCCACTCCCAATGCTGCTGCGCCCACATCCTGTGCTGCTCTGTGCCGGGTGGTAAGTAGCAGCAGGGCCTGCCTTCCATGCTGGCTAGCAAGCGATGACAGCGCAGAGTCCCTGGTCCCAGTGCTGATGCGTGTGCAGCAGCACTGGGAGCAGGGACTCTGCCTTGCTGCCACTTGCTCAGCCGGCATGGAGGCCATGATGCAGGCGCAGCTCGCTCTGGGTGGAAGGGGGAGAGTGGCAGCAGAGCATAGTCCCTACTGCTGTGTCCGCATCAGCACTATGCCCTGCTGCTGGTTGCCAGCTGGCATGGGTGGGCACGGCAGCACTGAGTGAGGGCACCCGCAGTGAGCTGTGCATCACCCCCCCTCCCCCTCCCCATCAGCTGAGCAAGTGGCAGCAGGGCAGAGGCCCTGCTCCCAATGCTGCCACACCCCCACCTCCCCAAGTAATGTGCCCCCCCCCACTGGCTGGGCTTGTCCCAGCCCCAATCCCTCCCTCCCCCAACCGACTTACCAGCTGGAGGCAGCTGTCAGCAGCCTGTTTAGTTTATAGCTGAATCTCCAAAGCAGCACCAAATCTTTCAGATCTGATTCAGCCAAATTGAATCAGGACAGCGATTCGAATCTCCAAATGGAATCACTGTCCTCTGAATCGGCCAAATCTGAAGTGAACACTTGCCGCTTTGCACGGGTCTGGTGGTTAGATATTGTGAATGCTGAACACCTACTGACTGCAATGGGAGCCGAATAGAGATCTATACAAACAGCAGGACCTTGGCCCGAGTTGTTCCTTCATAAGGGCTGGGGTGCTCCAAGTTAGGAATATTCATTATATAAAATCAGCCTTATCTATGTAGGTGTCTAGTTTGGAGAATCCCAGCCTTTTGAAGGAACTCAGTCAAGCCAAGCTTCTTCTGTAGGGTCCGCTTTTAATGTAGATTGTCTTGGCATTTGCCTTCAATTGCAGCGTAGACCCATGTTCCTGTTGCGGGTGTAACAGTCAGGGCATGGGGAGTGCCTCGACTAGAAAAGTCAGCTCAGCTCATTCCAGGAAGGTTAGAGGGTCTCTGCCTTCTTCAGAGAAGGATTGGAGACAGAAATGTTCCAGGGGAGCAGCAACACTGCCCACAGCAAACACTTCCCACTACCTTGAGTAGTGCCCCTATGTTAGGCAGAACATCACTCTTCACACCTGTGAGCCCAGGCATTTCTTCTCTCCTGAGTTGTCATATACAGATTTGTTCCTGAGCCTCACCCTGTAACCCTAGTTTAGCTGGTTTAATGCTGCACTCTACACCTAGACAACAGCACTGGAACTTGTGAGTGGTTTTGCATTTGTAGCAATATATTTAGCTTTATGGAGCTAATCAGGCACCTTTCAGTGAATCTCAGCTCTGCAGGGTAATAGATTAGTGGTTATCAGCTTTCCTAGACCACTAGTACTTGTGACAAGGAATAAGATTCTCTTAGCCCATTTGATTGCACCACCTAGGAGCAAATATCTTAGGCTGTTATTTGTGAACCAGGTTCCCCCACCCCATTGTCTAACTGAGACCATTAATAAAAACAGTAAAGAAACCAGTCTGCAGTGTCACACGGGAGCATTTGCACAGTAAAATTGGACAATATACAGAACCAGCAAGAAAAGGACTGGGCAGAAATGGCCCAGGCACATCTGCTGTGCCCAAGCAGCACTAGGGGCTTGTACTGCTCTTATGGGAGGCTGGCTAGCCACTTATGCTTACATGGCTTACTCAGTTGCCTTCAGCACACCTGCCTTGCACTATCACCTAGTGGAGCCTGCATGAGGATGACTTGTTGAGAGAGACAGTCACTCAGAAGGTTCCCTGCCTTGAAACAAGATGCAGTTCAGGTGTGTGTGGTGTTTACGCACTCCCCATCTGTGGCCCCATGAAGGCCTGGGACCTCTTGGTCAACCTCCTCCTGGCTCTAGCCAAACTCACCCTTAAGCTATCCAAGTGGGACACTCTGGCCGGGAAGGCTCCCGGAGACCTTGGGGCATTTTTCCTCAGTGTCCTGCACGCATGTCTCCGGGTGGAGCATCGCTGGGCAGTAGCTACCGGCACTCTAGCTGAGTTTGAGGGCCCGTGGGCACTGTCCGGCATGCTGTGCTCAGTGTCCCCTCTGGGAGCACTTGTTTTGGCCCTTTGACCCTGCATGTGCACACCCTGTTTTCTTATGATTTGTTCCCCGTAATCAGTTGAATTTTTAAAGGCTCTGGCTGCCCAACCAGTGGCAGCCCCCCATCTTTAGTGGGCTGGGCCCACAGCCTTTTTCATTCAAATAGATCAGGTGGGTGGGGTGGGGTGGGGTAGGGAGGGATGAGAAGAGTCAATATCAGCAATTAAGATATGGCAGCTGTCCCATCTGCCCCTCACTCTTGTGTCCTTTTCAGAAGAAAGCTCCCCAGAAGACACGCCCAACTACTGGCCTCCTCTTTGCAAATGGGAACATGACTTACCCAAGGACCACATTAAAAAAACCAAACCAAACAAAAAAACCCCACAGCTGTGGCTCAGCTGCTACCAAAGCACAGCTGATTCCTAGCCTGTGCTCCAGCCCTTCCAGCTACTGCTTCCCCATGCAGCAGAGCCAAGATCAAAGTTCAGGACTTCTCACTCTAGTCACAGGAGTAAAGTATCAGAGAAGCCAGAGCCAGCTGCAGCCTCTTGTGGTGACTTATGTTTAGCTCAGTTACCTTCAGTATCCAAAAATGGCCTCTTTGTCCTGCGTCTATGACGTGGAGTCAGCATTGCTGTTCTGGCTCTGCTTCCGTAGCAAGACAAAGCCAGTGTGTGCGCTGCAGACAGACTCACTCTGCAGAGACAGGACTAAGCAGAATATTTATTCAGTGCCGTAGCGAGGAGCAAAACTTGTACAAACATCAACCCTTGGTGGCTGGCTCGGTTACAGTCCATGCATAGGGAGCCCAGAGCCAGAGCGGGCTGGGGTACTGCGTGCTAAACCCAGTGCAGGAGCAGCCCTCACAACACCCAAAATACTTAAAAATAATTAAGGGGGTCAGGTTAGTGGGGATGTTGTTACAGACCAACATACAGCTGGACTTACCCTACTCAAGAAGGAAAGTGCCTGTGTACTTGGAGCCAGGAGTGGGCAGGACTCCTTCCTTCATGAGGAAGTTGCTTCTGCTAGTGACAAATTAAACCCTGAGTACCGGGGCAGGGGCACTAAGTGAACTTGTGTAGCTAGGGACAAGCAGCAAGTATGGAAATCGATCTTCTGGACATATACACCAGGAGCAGTTAAAACCCAGTGGTGCACTCTAGTTCAGAAACCTGCAGTTAAACAGAGGCTCCAACTAGCTTTATTTTTGACCCTTAAAGCCTATCTAAGTGGCACAGAGCTGCCACATGGCAGCCCTCCAGGACAGAGTAGGAGGAGTTTTAAAAGTCTTCTCCCCAGACACTTTATAGACACAGGCTGTTGTTTCCCATTTCAGAGGGACCCTCTGAGTATCTACAGTCAAACTACCTGTTGTTAAAAGAGACTGAGGAGCACTAGCAAAAGGAAGTTAATAGAGCTGCAGGTCCCTGGTCTTGCAGAAGCCCAGGCCAAGTGGATTTAGGAGCCCAAAGTTAACAAACAAACACAACAAAAACTATGGCTAATTATTTTCAACACAAACCTGCTAACCTCCAAAAGCCTGTTCAGTTCAAAACACACTCTCACTGGAGAGGGAGCTCCGCTTATAATGACCTAAGTCCCAGGTCCATACAGGTCTTGTACGTAATAAAGTAACACCCAAGGACCACTCTAACCCAGGATGGATCAGCTTATGTGGCAGTTCTGGGAAACCACTCCAGCATTCTGGAGAGGAATGTTTTTTGATCTCTCCTTCAAGGATGTTCCTGGAGACCGTGTATTCACCAACAGCTCCCAGCTTGTCACAGCATGCACCACGCTCTATCAGCCAGACCCTGTGAACCCCCGCCCCCCTCCTTAGCCACGACATGAGTTGTCCTGTTGGGGAGCCATGAGAATGGACAACCTGTTTTAAAAGGTATCAAGTACTACAATCATAGCCACTTTGTGCTATTTAGCAGCTTGGATCAGACAATGGGGCACAGACAGCAACAGGAGACACCACTCACTTCCCATGTACTGTAGTGTAGGAACTAAACACCTTACCCTTACCCTCCCCCCATTGCTAATCAGAGGATCCATTCTGCAGCTGGCTGCATTTCAAGCCAGATCCAAATGAAGACATTTACTAGCTGCCACAAACAGGTTTGCATCGCTTAGCTAGCTTCCAGGCATGCACTCCCCACTTCAAGAGCCTTAGGTGTTCCAATCCCTCCAAACCAGTACCAGGGATCCAGTAATGCCCCTGCAGGGAGGTGAGCTGCCTCTTGATGGTCAGGGCAAAAGACACATTCATAAAACTCAGCTATATTAAAGAGTCCTGCTGTAAAGCAGCTCAGCCTGCCCATGCCCAAGTGGTCTGCAGCCAACTGCTCTCAATGAGCCCAGCCCCATCCCAAACCCCTGGAACAGATCCAAGAAACAGCAGCCTCCGCCTGTGCTCTGCAGTAGCCAAAGCCTGGCTGGAAGTAGCTGGAGCCAAGTAGCAGCACTTGTGAGAAGCTGAGGGGGAAAAAAAACCACACACACAGCCCTGCAGTGATCAGCCAAAGGCTACATCTGATCAGGCCCAGCTCACAGCCCCCAGGGCAGGGGCTCAATTATTAACAGGCGCAGATGGAGAGAATGCAGTTTCCCCCCTGCCCTGGCTGAAAGGCTGGATGTGCAAGCAGCTCCTCTCCATTGTGCAGGGCCTGAGGCTCCCCCTCCAAGAGCCCCACGAGGGCAGTGACTGGCGTGAGAAAGTCACAGGAGTGGATGCCTCATTTCAGCTCTTCTGGTTCAGGAGCCAGGAGAAGAGCAGCTTCCTGGGCCTGGGCTTCCTGGCCTGCTGGATGCGCACGGAACGGGGAGAGCGCCACACCTTGATGGTGGCATCGTCGCTGGCCGTCAGGAGCAGCTCCTGCTCCATGGGGCTGAATGCCACGGAGTTGACCACATCGTCGTGTTGCAGCTTGGCCAGGCAGATGTTGTAGTGCCGGTCCCAAATGTAGCCATGACGATCCTCTGCCCCACTGCATTGGGCAAGACACCAGTGAGAACCCAACCAGTTGGCTAGCGCCTGCTGTCAGCCTGGCCTACCCTATCAGTGTGCAAGCAGCTGGATTGAATGGAGGTGGGGAGAGGGGGAGGAAGGGGTAGGGGAAGCCTTTTGCACAAGAGTACAGGGTCTTGTAGTCCAAGCACCCCCACAGTTGGCAGCTGCAGTTTCCTGTGGAGCCCAACCCAGTGCCCAAGTTGGAGCTGTAGCTGAGAACTGTTCCTGAGCCTCCAATGAGTCACCCCCCACCCTAGACACTATTGCTGCAGTGACTCCCAGGGAGTGAAGAACCTAAACCCATTTCCATACAGTGCTCCAGCAACAAGCCATGGACCCAGAGCTACCAAGGGCAGAAAGCCAGGGCACTTCTCCCCCCTCCCTGCCAACTTCAGGACCACGAGAGACCACTCCCCCCCCACACCTGGCTACGAAGTCCCTGCTGACATCAAGGAAGATGAAGAAGCACTCATCATTGGGGGTGTAGGCCCGGTGAGCCCGCAAGGCTCGCTTCACCTCCTTCATTGTCTTCAGGTCAAACACGTGCAGGTCGATCTCCTCTGCGATGGGGGGTGGCTGCATGGGGTCCGAGATGACGCAGTCCTGAGGCCAGGCCCGGCTGTTCACATACAGGTACCTGGGGAAGCAAGAGCAGAGGTCACCTGCCAGAGCCGTGCTGCTGGCAGCCCCTGTAACTCACTGTGTTACTCCCTTATCTGGAGAAGCCGTTCCCATGAGAAGCCTTTTCCTGTTCTCTCCTATCTCTGGCACCAGGCTGAAGCAGTTGTGCTGGTACAAGACTGTCCAGGGAACAACTGACTCCCAGCCAGAGCAAGCTGTTTCCATGGAATTGTTTGGAATTTTAGCAGGACCCTTTGTAGCTGCACTCACTTCCCGGGCCCGAATCTGGGATCTTCCCAAGGTCAGGTAAGTGTGTGTCGCTGGTGAATTCCCAGGGGAGATCACAGGCATTACAACCATCCACTCAGACACAGCTCTGCAGCTAGTGGAACTAACCCAGCTCCACTGGCAAAAGCCCCTCTCCCCTCACCTTGGGCAGCCCTTTTGCACTGTTGCTAAAATGGTCATCTCAATGTAGTCTAGACCCATTCCATCCAGCAAGACCCAACAATCCCAGCTGCTTCCTCTTCAGTGCCATTGTGAGGAAGTAAGGCTATGCTAGTTAAGATGCCAAACCCAAGCTCCCACCTTCCTGACAACACCTGTTCTGAGGGCATGGGACAGGTTCCTTGAATGGTGCAAATGCCCATGCTAGGTTCGCTGGTCTGAGGCTGTAAGAGAAGTCTCTATATAAGAGAAGAGCTCCTCACAGCACTGCTCTGGCAGACATGTCACAAGGGCTGTGCACATCTGCTTCTCCAGGAAGGAGAAACCCAGCCAACTGGTCATGGAGAATGAAAGAAAGGAAGTGAATTCCTTCCTCATCCCCAGCCTGGTAGCTACAGAAATTGGCCTGCCTTGACCACACAAGCCTAAAAGCCAGAAGTCAAGAGGACTTAGGGCCACTACAGGATGGATCATGGCCTCTGGCTAGGGCTGCAGAAGCCAAGAGGTCTGAAACTTTTTATAGAACCCAAGCTCCAAATTGAGCAGAGTCAACTCTTCAGGCAAGCATGCCATGTCCCATACAGTCAGCTCCACATCAGGTGCTTAGTAGGGTAAAGAAGAGAGCACCAAGGTCCCAATTATGGCCTTCATATACCACAGATTCCAAGGCCAGGGGACAAATCCCAACACATGGCTTGGAAGTGTCACAGGCCCACTGACAGACCATGCTAGGAAATCCCCAGCTGCCTGAAGGAAAGAATCTTGCAACACCTGATGCGACTCCTTGAACAAAGGTAAATCTGCTCTCCCCTCTGCGGGGCTGGAAACCCTTCACAGTGTTCTCACAGTTAATAAGCTGGCAGCCAGGAGCACAAAGTCAGTGATACTACCCTAAAACCCTCTGCCACATGGCTGATGCTTGGCTCCACAGTGCCTTGCTTCTGGCTGTGCCCACCTGTGGTCAGGAGAGAGGCCCATGCCAATGATGTGCCCACGGATGTCAATGACATGATCCAGCGAGTCGAAGAATTCATCTGAACGCCTCTCCTCCCCCAGCACTGGCCCTGCTGTTGTCATCTGATGAGGCAAGATCTGCTTGATCCCTGGAGGGGGTAAGGGGTCAGGAGAGTCAGTCTGCTCTGAGAGGCATCTTGGGAGACAATGTGCACAGCCCAAGTACTTCAGGGAAGACCCCAGGCTCTGCAGCAAGTGACCTCCTGCAAGCTCCTGACAGCAAGAGCCTGACAAAACAAACTCACTTATGGAGAAGGACTGGGGACAAAGGAGCTGGCATGCCCTATGGCACAGGACAGGGCTCTAGTCCTTAGCATATTCCTCTTGCCATCAGCCCTTGGGTAGTTACTTGGGCATCCTTTTGACCAGGGATCTGGGCTAGGATGGCAGCTTTGAGTACCGGTCCACCTCATTCTTCCCTTCCAGTGAGATTCTGAAAGCAAACTCCACCCCTCTCCTCCCTCCCCATCAGCCACCACTGCGACTACAAGTGCTAGCATGCAATGCTGGATCAATGAAGCACTGCCTAGTGGGATCTGTAATTAGTAATCCAGTGGACAGAGGCCCTCAGGGCAGGCTGCATGATTATTTTATCAGCCACCACTGCAAGCTAGAAGGCTACTAGGCAGCATCTCCACCAGCACATGCCACATGCAGGCTGCATCTACATTCATGCAGTCACTGATGCATCCCCAAGCAAGAAAGTGGCAAAGCTAGGGTTGGATGCAGGACTTGACTCTGCCCCTTGCATGCACCCTGCATAGGGTTCACGCAGTGCTTCAAGCCCAAGATGACAGAGGACTTGAAAATGGATTGGTCTCAACTCTGTTGAGACCAATGAAGCAGTTGTCCTGCATGTGGGTTGTGTGAAGGCTTATGCCCTCACTTCTTGGAAGGGAAGGAGATACCATGGGAGGTTTGAGCAAACGGAAACTGCATATGCAGAGGTGAAGAACAATGTGTGTGTGTCACCAGCCAAAGTGATTTACCCCTGGTAGCTGCTTTTTCTTCCAGCCTAAGGCTCAACCAAGGGGAACACAGAGTCATGTAGGGCTCTAGCATCCAGAGCTGTAGAACAGATTCATAGATGCTAGGGTCGGAAGGGACCTCAATAGATCATCGAGTCCGACACTAGCATCTATGAATCTGTTCTACAGCTCTGGATGCTAGAGCCCTACATGACTCTATGCTCCCCTTGGTTGAGCCTTAGGCTGGAAGAAAAAGCAGCTTCCAGGGGTAAATCACTTTGGCTGGTGACACACATTGTTCTTCACCTCTGCATATGCAGTTTCCATTTGCTCAGACCTCCCATGGTATCTCCTTCCCTTCCAAGAAGTGAGGGCGTAAGCCTTCACACAACCCACATGCAGGACAACTGCTTCATGTCCAGTCCAGTCAGTTTTGTACTAGACCCAAGCTCAAAATGATCAGAGCTGGGATCTCAGCAGCTTCTCCCCAAACTAAGCCTAGAAAACCACAGCCCAATAATCAGTGTGGTAAAAAAGGGCATAAGGAAAGCTGTTTCACACCCTTAACTACAGCTGGCCCCCCAACAGAAACCCATGGTAGAAACAAGAGCAAGCCTATCTGCACCTAGAACTGCAGCTGGCCTACTGCAGGGCAGTGACCAAACAGGATGACAACTTGCAGAGCCAGTATGGCAGATTTTGGAGCCTGGGCGTGGGAGAAGCAAGGGCTGGAACGCATAGCCCAAGGCAAAGCCACCATGCCAGGGCTTACCAATCTGGTGTGGCGAGTAAGTGAGGCATCCTGTGGTGAAGATCAGGTATTTCTTCTTGCTGTGGCCATCGGTGGGGACCAAGTTCAGTTCAGGTGGCTTTGTCCTGTTCCTTGCAAGCAGCTCAGCCACCTTTGTCTCCAGCTCTTTTTCAGTCATGAGGGGTCTCACACGACCTTCCATGATGTCGTCCAGGAACTGCTGTAGCCCACCCCCTGCTGTCACGCTCCCATCCTCTGGGGATTCCTGCGCTGCCAGCTCTGACGTCAAGTTCTGTTTGGGTTTTGCCTCCTTTTCCTCACTGTCACTGCCAAGGTCAAAGACCTGGCAAGGGGAGGTGGAAGCGGCAGCTAACTGCTCCCCATAGTCCAGAAGCAGGTCAGGGGAGTCATACCGGCTGCAGTCTGCCACCATCACCGTCCGGATAGTGCTGGCATTTAAGTTCTGGATTTTAAACAGTCTCTTCACTACATTTACGTTCTCAGACTCTATGCCCTAGGAACAGAGCAGAGAGGTGAGATTAGAGAGCAGGACAGGGCTCAAGACCAATGCCCAAAAGCATAGAAAATGAGGGTTGGAAGGCACCTCAGGAGGACATCTAGTCCAGTCCCCTGCTCAAAGCAGGACCATCCCCAACTAGATCATTCCTGCCAGGGCTTTGTAAAGCCAGGTCTTAAAAACCTTTAAGGATGGAGATTCCACCACCTCTCTGGGTAACCTGTTCCAGTGCTTCACCACCCTCCTAGTAAGAAAGTTTTTCCTGATATCTAACCTAAACGTTCCTTGCTGCAACTTGAGACCATTGCCCTGCCCTCTTACAGCAGGAGACTCCTCAGCTCCTCTTCCTAGGGTTCCTTCCTGCTGTAGGTGCCAAGAAGGAGCCCTGGCTGAGGCCCATAGCCAGAGACTCAGGGTCTCTAATGCAGTGGGTCCAGCTGAGGGTGGGGGCAGCACCCAGATTAAGTGGCCTCGAGCTGGTTGAGGCCGCACCTGGAAGGCGTTGTTCAGCCACAGCACAGAGCAGGAGGTGATGTGCCCGATCCGGTGCAGGTTGCCAGAAATCAGGTTGGTTTCGTTCAGCCAGCAGCCAAACACGTCGTAGGGTTTGTTCCTCACCCTAGAGAGGAGTAAGAAGTTTTCTGGAAGGGAGGAAAAAAAAAAGTGGGGAAATGAACTGTGCCTTTGAGCCTGCTCCAGCAAAAGGACAAGACTCAGGCATGAAATCCAATCAATCAGAGGCCTGGCTGGTCACTGAAGTACATGGACATGGATGGTCTCTCGCAGCTGGCTAGGAGTGGCCACAGCCATCATACTCTGCCTTTCACTGATGTTACTGCTTACTACTCAGACTAGTTCTCTGTGCCTCAGAGGCCCCAACCCTTTCACTGTACCATAAGCTCCAATAGCAGAAGACACCACACATCAATATATCCAGCCCTACAAGAAGCCTCTACTTGGGCAGGGAGCCCAGGGCAGAGACCACAGGAGAGAATGAAGCTCAGGGTAGGTAGAGTCCTAGGAAGGTGAGGGGGTATGGAAAACAGGTCAGACATACATACACATTCCAGCAGAGCTGTAAGGGCTCTCAGGAACAGGCCAACCAGCAATGCACCAGATCAGTTGTGTGACAAAGCTCCCACACTGCTCACACTCAAGCTAGCTTCCGCTATCAAGCCCATTGCTTTCCATCAGCACTAGAACAGCTGAAGTGAAATGTAGAGACATCAGTGGCTCTTTCTGAGGTGATTACAACTAAGTGCCATGAGCTACATTTTTAGCTCAGTTACACTTCAGTCCAGGCACGCTCAGCTCTTGACACCACTTCCTGATCTACTGAGGAAGGGTTCAAGCTTATCTGCCTTTTACAGATGGCAGAAACAAGCACAGAGAGGAGAGGCCACATGTTCAGGTTCTCACAAAACCCAGCACACCACTCTTGGACCAGTGTCCCATCCACTGGCTCCCAAACCATTCCATCTCATCATGTCAAGGAAGATCCAGGATGGAAGGAGCCTTACCCATGCTGATGACAGCGATCTCTCCAGATGAGGAATTGTGAGGCCCCACAAAGACACCTGACACCAAGAGAAGGGAGTCGTCTGAATTGAACTGGGAAAACTGCGTGTAGCTCCAATTGTATGGCCTCATGTTGGAGCTGTGCAGCAAGGAGATGTCCAGCTCATTGTTCCAGATCTGAAAACAGATGGGACAGAGGGAGGCTATCAAAAGGTCCAGCAACACTAAGAGCATCTACCATTAGCAAGACAAAATTCACAGGGCACCAGCCAGGCAGTTTGGAGGCCAGTGGACAGAAATCCACCAGTGCTGACCTCTCTGCCTAGAGCCTGTTCAGAGGAGAACTGGAGGGGTTTACAAAGTAGCCCATTGAAAAATTCTTGGATGAATCCAATACCATGCTGCACAGTGCTCAGAAAAATGCCCTTGCTGCTGCTCTGGTCACTCTGCTTTAGAGTACCAAAGAAAGCTGCACACAGTAATTACTCACCCAAGAGGCTATTTTTGCAGCAAGGGTTGCTTATTGGACAGGGGGGCAGGTCCTGTCAGCTTACAACTGCACAGTACCCAGAACAAAAAGATGGGGGGGCCTCAAGGCACTGACACTGTAGTAGCCACTCAGGAGGATGCTGACTTGGTACAAAGGCCCTGAAGGCTACAAGGGGAAGGCACTACAATTCAAGGGCAATTCCATGGCTTCAGGGAGCACAATGGGAAGTGAAAGCCTGGGAAAAGAAGATTAGGCTTCTTGCAAAGAAGGCTAGGCTAAGATTAGGCTTCTTGCCTCCATCCCCACCACGCAGGGGCATATTCAGCGAACAGGCTAAAGATTAAGAATTCTGTCCACTGTCCCACCCCACCCCCAGACTGATCTCCCCTCAGGCTGCTGTGCATGTCAGCCCTGCTGCCACACAGTCTGTGCCTGTTCTCCAATAGGAGGATGCTGTCCCCTAACCAAAGTCACCAAAATAAGAGCTGCTCAGGCAGTAGCTGTGCAGAAGTGTTATCTCATTTGGGGTTCCCAGAGCAGAGTGGAGAGGGGACCGAGATTATCCCAAGCCAGCAGTGGAGCAGGGAATAACACTCAAGCATCCCAACTCCTAGACTCTAGGAGTTGGGATGTGGGGTGGGGGGAAGAGGAGACAGAATAGCGGGCTTGGTTGCTCTCCGCATTTTGTTGTTCTTTCTGTTCTTTTACTGTCTGCCCAGCCCCAACGCTGGCACATCAGCGCTTCAGGCAGAACCTGGGAAGAGCTAGCTTGGGCCACAAAAATCAGATCAGATATTGTACTGCAAAGCCATGTCCCCAGCCCTTATGCAATCCTTCCCACAGGTCACAGCTCATCCACACCCGCTCCAGAATATGTGTCGTCTCCCCCCACCCCAGTCTAGTCACATGCAAGTTATATTCCTCCACATTAGAGACATTAAATCAGGAGTGGGCAAAATGTGGCCCATCAGGCCATTCTTTCTGGCCCAAGGGGACAAAAAAAAAAAAAAAATTAGAAAATTAATATTTACCTGCCCCTGGCTGTCTGTCATGTGGCCCTCAATGGCTTGCCAAAACTCAGTAAGTGGCCCTCTGTCTGAAATAATTACCCGACCCTGAAATGCATCAAACCCCCAAAGGGAAAGGGGCTTGTTGAATGAGCTCAGAGTCTATTATAAAGACCAGCTGCTCAGAGAGGCCAAACCGGTTAGCTCACAGCCCCATATATTCAGAGCCCTGTGACTTCTATACCTCTCCTGTGTTTTATGGAGGCTAAGACGTCTCAGCTGCAGCATCTCCTCCACAGTGCCTGATCCAAAGGCCTCACTATACTAACCAATCAGATCAGCTCCCAGCAAAGGAAAGGGAGGAGGAGGAAGAGCAGGAAGATCAGGGTATGACAGCTTGACAGAAGTTTATACAGCTGGAGTCAAAGCTTGAGCCTACCTCACTTGGTACAAGTGAACAAACAAATCAGCCAGTACAAGAGCCGGCTACTTCTTTACCTTAACAGTGCAGTCCTTGGAGCAGGATGCAAACAGGTAGCCAGAATGGGAGAAGCTGAGGTGCAAGACCTGGTCACTGTGCTCCCTGAGGGTCTGTACTTCAACGCACGGGATGGTGTCATAGAGTCTCTGGAACTCATCGTACCAGGAAACAGCAACTGCAACACACAAGCCGAGACATTTGGGACTCGGAAGGCAGCAAGGAGGGGATGGGGGTTAGCCACAGGCGGAGGCCACGGAGCTGGGTGGCTTTGCCTGTAGCAGTTACAGTGCACAATTAAAGATACCTGACCTGGGTGCCGCGGTACTTCCCGAGAAATCCGGTAATATCGATAAAATAGTTCCTTCCACAAGAACTCATCCCGGGCCACTGCGTGCCACTGCCGACACACCAGTGTTGCTGAGAGCACGTCTACGTGGTCCAGGTAGAGGAAGATCTCGTAGAGGATGCTGTCAGGGAGAAGGGGATTACCCCCAACATCCATAGTGTCATTCTGTCACCAAAGGACTCTGGAGAGACACAGGAATGCAGTTAGTTTCCACCCACCTGCCTAGCATATCATTACGGAGACACTTGCCCAGAACAGGGAGGCTGCCATGCCAGAGCAAGTGTGCTCGCAGGCAAAGCAAGCTATCGCGGCTTCTCACAGGCAGAGGCAAATACACGCACCCACTTTAAACAGTCATGTTTCTAATTGCAAACACTTGTCAGGAAAACAGCATTGGTGGGCTGGGGAGGGCAGTTTTAAACTAAACCCAAGAGAGCAGTTCTCTCTTCACTTGCCCTCATGCAGATGAAGCTTTTTTGAAATAAAGAAGAAAGGTCACACATGTGGCAGCCCCCACGGTCCTGTGTCTGGAGGCACATGAACACGAAGCATTGGGCACGTGCCTGACTTCAGTCCTGTGCACAGTGACCCCAGTGCGGTCCACCAGCAGGACTTGAAAGCGAGACCTTCAGCATGAAAGCAGTGAGCTGAACCACGTGAAGCATGGAGCTGAACAAAGGGTGCAAACGGAGGCAGCGTTGATGCCTATAGGAAGCTGCCTAGTGGAGCAGTTCGGTGGGTCTGCTCCTACAGCCACGTCCTCGTAACTCTAACGCCATCTTGCTCACAGTTAACATTAGTGACGCTGACCACTTGCAGCTCCTGTAGCAACAGAGCATAGCAGCTCACACGCACCCCCAAAAACAGCTCCCCCTTCCCTTTTAAATCAGTGGACAGCTAATAGGCTTTGGCTGTGGACTGCTTCAACACCAGCCAGCCGCGCAGCGCGCGGACCAGGCGCAGGGGAGCACGTACAGACCGAGCTTGCTACGCTGCCGCTTTCCCTGGCGAGCACGAGAGGTCTGCGGCCTGACACTGAGCAGCGCGTCCTGCTGTCAGCTCGCAGCAGCGCTGCCTACGGACCTGGCACTCAGACTCCAGCACAGCTCAGACGTTTGGGATGCGTTTGCTCTGCCAGGAGGCAAGGAGCACACTGTGTTTATGAAACGCGCTACGCGTCTTGAGCCCCACAGAGAAAGCGCCAGCGGCAACTGCTGCTGCTCGACGCGCCGATCCTTTTGCTCCAACACTAAGAGGTGAATCTCGGCGCAAGGCTGACGGCCGGCGGGGGCCGAGAGCAGCCAGGACCCCAGCGAGGCCAGTCGTGTTGCGGAGTCCTGGGGAAACAGCAGCAAGCTCTGACTCTGGCCCTGCCGCCGGGAGCACTGGAGGGCAACCGGCCGCACCCGCAGCCT